CATGACACGTGGTCCACGGCCATTTTCCGCCCGTGCCATGTGGTCCGCGGCCATTTTCCGCCCGTGCCATGTGGTCCGCGGCCATTTTCCGCCCGTGCTACGTGGTCCGCGGCCGGTTTTCCGCCCTGCCGCACAGTCCACAGCCGTTTTTCCGCCCTTGACACGTGGTCCGCGGACGCCGGAATGGATTAACAGTAATTACATTGAACCTTATGGGAAAATTTGCTTCCAGTTGCGAACAAATCGGGTTGTGACCAGAGTCACGGAACGGATTAAATTCGTAACCCGAGGTACCACTGTATACAGTATATATATTTTTTCAAAGAAACATTTGTGTGTGCACCAATCACCCAAATTCTGCTTCATTTGGCTTGTCAGGCCAGCTTTCTGGTCCAGAATTTTTTTCTTTAAGGATTAAAAAAAAATTACATATATATATCTTTGCTACATTGATGGAGGAAGATGGTGATTGTATTTTTTAAACATGTTCAGGGTAGCTGAAGGATATTTTCCCATTTTTATTTAACAAAAGCCTAGCATGCTTACAACCATGGTGGGCTCTTTGTACATAAGGTTCTTCTTTCTCTGCTGGAATGAATGACCACGTAATATGGGATCTTGCTTCATCATGGTCTTTTTTTTTTTTCCAGAATAATTTCTGAGTGCACCTTTCTCCTCCTCTCTCCTCTTCATGAAATTGTGTTTTTGTTTTCATGTGTTTTATAATTCTGCAAGCCATCTCAAGAGGGCAATGCAAGATTACTTAAAAACAAAACAACCCCATTAAATTAATAACTTACATATGCTGCTTAACTATTTTTTCTCTCTGCTGGATTTCCTCCAATGTACCACTAATATCTTGAATGTTTTGGAACAATGAAAGATTTTGCTCTTCAAGATATCTGAACATCTGAAGTAACTCTTCTGGGTCTCTGAAATATATCTCTGGCTCCTAATGAAAGAGAAATGGGAATGCATAATTTCTGGAATGCAATTCTCTGGAATTGCACATCTATTTGCAAATATTTTTGAAAAATTGAAATGTGCTAAAGTAAAGGAGGGCATTTGAGGATTATGCTGTACTGGCTATAAAGGACCATGTTTGCCTCACTATTAAATGTATAAATCAGCAAAAACATTAATTTCAATGGTCAATTTATATATTATGCAGAAGACTTGGTTTGCTATGCCACTTATTTTCTGGAAACATGCTGAAATGTGATGGGAACAGGATAATTGCTATGCACTGAAGTGCTGCATAAGTGCCCCTCACTGACACAAATCTATAGTATATTTACAGACACCACCATTTGCTATAGTGAACACAGCAAAATAAGATTATTTACAAGGGTTGCTGGACTGAATATCCACTAAAGACCTACTGGGTGAAATATATAAAACAAAAGATATTATTTTTTCCTTCTAATACAAATATCTTGTTATGAATGAATGAATGAATGAATGAATGAATGAATGAATGAATGAATGAATTGATCAATCAATCATTTGCTTCATTTATTAGGTACTGTTTTCTGCTGCTTTGATCACTACAGCACTGCAAATTCATAATTGAGGTTATACAGGTGAGATCTGAAAAACTGTGGGTATTAACTAGTATCTAGGGGCATACTTCCTTTTCTAAAACCGCAGTATTTCTATTTCTTTAGTTACGACTACACTGGGACATGTAAAGAAGGCTGGGATTATTATAATGCCTGAGTGGTTTCTGCATTAAAAAGGAAATTCATTTTCTACTTCATGGTTTAGTTAGACCACTAGCTAAAAGGAACCTGGTTTTTATGATATATGTGATTTACAATACCTTAAGACACAATCACAGCTGTGAATGTCACAAATGTGCAGCTCACTTTTTATTCAGTGCAGTATCATTAAGTAAATTGAACCAGATTTTGAGCTATGTCCACAGCAATTTCCTACATGACTTCTTTCACATCAAAAAAATAAAATCCATACATGTGAAATGAGCAGAGAAGTAAATGCAAAAGTCTGTGAAAAAATGGAATTTTATGTGGAAAGAGTCCATATTCCAAGAGTCCATATTCACAGCTATTGGCTACATCATTGCAGAAGATTTCACCCAGAAATTCTGATGTTGTACAACTGAATTAATAACAATCTTAGTGGGCAGCCTAAATGTAATCAATAAAATAAAAATAAATAAATAAATGCAGAGTCCTTGGTGCTCTCTGAGTTTGGTTGCTTGCTTGCAGATGTTTCATTACCCCACTAGGTAACATCATCACTGATCACTGATGATGACATCACTGATGATGTTGCCTAGTGGGGTGATGGAACATCTGTAAGCAAACAACCAAACTCAGAGAGCACCAAGGATTCCACAGTTCAACCCTGTGCTACATATATTCTCTTGTATTGGAAAGATAAATGCCTTACCTCCTCACAATTCTGTATATCATCCAAGGAAAAATTATCTTCTGAAGATAGAGAGATACTTTTTTCACTTAGACAGCTGTTATTAAAAGAAAATTTGACTTAGATATAATTTGGGTTTATACTGTGAAGCTTGCCAAGTCAGTGTTTAATGCCAAGCAGGAAGCCTATGCTTGGTAAAATAAAGATCCCACTTAGAAAGGGAAGGGAAGAATTTACTGCAATTTATTCTTCGTGATGTAAAAAAAAAAAATACTCTTCTTGATATAAAACTTGGTAATGCTCATGAACCATATTGCCAATTCACAGAATTCCTAATTTATCTATTTTAAGTCAAATATCACGGCATAAAACGAAGCCAGTATCCATAGACAGGCTTGTATTGTTTAATGGAGCTCTCCCTTGCCACATCTACAACTAGACACAGAAGGAACTTCCAAATTCAGATTACTATCACCTTTCTGATGATTTATTTTTCTCATCCATGAATAATTTTGGCTCCAGTACTACTCGTGATGACTTTTTAAAGAACCTATAGTCTCCTGCAAAAAAAATAACATATATTATTCTTATTTAGCAACAGGAATTTACTAGAATTATATCATATATACAATATATTTTAATATATTTCCTGGAGAAATGAATCCACTATGGAAGCACTACCCTAAGCAGGGATGGGCAACCATGGGAGACACGTAGCTCCGAATTCCACTTTTTTTTTTTTTTTGGTGGCCTCTAGAATAGTGGCAGAATGTTCTGCTGTAATAAGGGGCAAAACAGGCACATTAAACTCCTGCAAGGATTAAAGCATCTATTTCATCCCTTAAAAACCCTACGTCTCCCCATGCAAACTGGTGATGTCCCTGGGCCCTTAAATAAAAATGGAAGCCTCCTATGTAATAAGTAGTCACTATCCAACTACTATCTCATACATTTCATAAAAGGAACATATCAATGTTTCTTACATTTTTAACCTTGTAAACTGCCAGGTGTCTTTGAATTTTGGCCGTACAGAAATGTGAGACACAAACAAACATACCAATAGCATGAATTGGGAGCTATATTTTGAGCATAAAAACAATTCATACCATCACCATTTCCAGTGAAAATATGGGTGGCAAGTCCCAACAGACTTTGGAAAATTCTGTCTGCATTCGCTTTTATTTCTTAACTGATTCCTGTGAATTATATGTACCTATTTCCTAAATTAGTAAAGGTGCCACCTAATACCATACTCCACAATGGATGAAATAGAGATTTCTTATCAACTTTCCTCTGCAAGGGTCTTCTTCAATTTAGTCCTCTTATGGTATTCTGAATGATAGCTGTCATCATCCATTGGCTAGGAATGATAAAACACTGTATCTAACAAATGTGGAGACTCCCAATGCACTTATTCAAACAAACCAAGTTATAGTTATGGTTTTTTTCCTCATGAAAGGACTGATGTGTTTTAAAACTCTTGCCAAAAAGGACAATGGAAGGAACACATAACTCTGCCATTCTTGTCAAGTTCAAGACTGAGGGAAAATAGCAATTGCCCTATAAACTCTCCACTATAGGTTCCTAAATTTCATTTGCCCTTCCACATCCAGAACTGACAATGTTATGAAAGCAGAGTGAGCCAGTTGCTTTAAATAACATAGTTTGGGCACTGTGAAAAAGTCAGCCGAGTCAATGTCTTACATTAATTTTATATATTAATGGAATACAAAGAACTGACCAATGAGGATTTGGATTTTTGATTCTCATAGAGCAGGTCTCTGTGCAATAAGACAAACAAATTTCTGAAACAGGAAAAACTTTCCAAAGCTATTTGTGGAAGGACAAGTTAATTCAAGACAGAGAAATGCTGTTATATTATTTATCTGTATATGTACACAAGCATATGCAGGTAATCCTTGTTTAGTTCCTTGTACAGCGACTGTTTGCAGTTATGACGCATTTATAGTCTTTGCAGATTTATAAAGCAAAGGAAAGCAGAAGTAAGATCTTAAGCACAGTTGCGGTTTCACTTAGTGACTGCTCCACTTAATGACTGAGTTGCCAGTCCCAATTGTGGTTGCTAAACAAGGACTACCTGTACCCACAAATGGAGTTCAGGCCGCAAGATAAACATACAGCTCCTTAAATCACAACCTATGCTTCAGTCACTGAAGATTCCTCCCATCAAGAATTTCTGTGCAGATGAACACCCTTCCCTTCCCTTCATAGGTCTTCCTTATTCCTTACCTTGAGCCTGTGAAACTTTCTTCTTTTCCTCAGAATTGTTAAAGATGACTGAGGCTGATTTCCCTACTATCCCTTTCTTGGCAGGCTGGGACTCTTTATGATGTGCCCATTTGTATAAAGGTGGTAGCCAAATGACACAGTCACACATTTGTAAAAAGAACAAAAACAAACAGGCCATCAATTCTATTAGTCCTTGCTAAATACAAACAAGGCTGCCATTGACAGGAAGTGGGAACAATCTGCAACACTGGTGTAAAGTGCTGGCAGACAAAGTAAACAGCCAAACTACACAGACTGGATAATGAATTATAAAGCAGGAAGCCTAGGGAAATACACTAAGATTACGAATGCAGCACAAGCAGTGAGAATGCTTATACATTATTCCTCTCATACATCAACAGACTAATTATGCTATTAGGATGCAATGCCATTACTACTAATTATTTATTCAAATTATTAAGTTATCTAATCAAACATTACTCTGGGGGCATACAATTGGTTAAAACATCTTTTTAAAAAAACTGAACAGAACAAATAGACTAATATCAGCAACCTGTAGAAATACACCAACATTTCAACAGTCAATCCAACCGGATCACTCCTCACTCTGGCTCAGAGCCTGTTTGAAAAACCAAGTTTTAAATGCTTTCCTGAAGGACAGAAGGGCCGGAGCCAAAGAGAGGGCAATTTTTCCAGAAGGCAGAAATGACAATTTTACTATATAAACATGTCACTATAGTCATTTCATTATATAAACATCATTAGGACCTAAATGATAAAGTATATATACTTCATAATGTTCCTTTCTGCATGAATTGCTCTTTGCATCTTCAATAACTCAGGATATGACAAAACATATTTATACCATCCAAGATTTTCTTTTAAGACATTGTTCCCTCCAAGTTTATAGTACAATGCCTTAGCACATCTAGATAAAATTTCTAAAGATGTTTTCCCCCAAAAGCAATCATGAGGAAACTAATGTAGTAAAAGAGTAGTCTAGCAGTGTTTTTTGCCTATTTAATAAGGAAACACACATCTTTACTAGAAATGGCAATGTATTATTTTTCAGGGCCAGCTAGTAACAATGTGTGTTCTTCTTAAAAGAAAATTCTGCAAGTTTTTATTTTAAGAAAATGAAAGGGTTTGATGAGACTCTAGAAGTTTTGTCACTCATAGAGACATATATTCATGCCAAACAGGCAGAGGTTATTATTTTCACGGAGTACTCGTCATGATTTTCATTCACAATCTATTAAGGAGTGGAAGAATGGATTATCAAATTAATGGAGTTGGCTCAAATGGCGAAGTTAACAGCGTTAACAAGAGATAATACTGTTTCTAAATTTGTCTCCTCATAGTAACCCTTCTTAGATTGGGTGGGAAAAAAATGAAGCTTTGTGGGATTTAATGATTAAATGGTTTGCGCTGATAGAAATGATGTGAATTTCGATTAATTAGTGGTAAGAGATTAACCTTTTTTAATTTGTAATTATATCTGTATTGGAGATAGTCAGAAGTCACTTTCCATTTCATCTTTCTATCTGTTCTCACTATTTTAGTTTCTGTCTTTTTCTTTTAGTTCTATCTTCTTTATTTTCTATACTTTCTAATTTTTATTTTAACTGTGCTTTTTATACATCTTAATAAAAGTTTTAATTAAAAAAACAATCTATTAAGGAGTATTGTTTTACAATATTGTTTAGGCTACAGCCTTAAAAATCTTTTAGACTGCTGTATCATTGTTCTTTTAAGTTTCTCTCATTCACCTAAAATCCTACTTTCCCTACAGTCTATTATAATTAAATTAGTATTTCAGTATCTAAAGATAGAATCTTCCACTAATTTTCTAGCACGAAGCATAAATCACTTTACAGTAAATAAATCCATGAATTATTTACAAATAGGGTTTAGCTTTTGGCTTTATAGAACTTTCAACTAAAGGAAAAGAACTCGTGCTCAAAATGTTTTTGCCTACCATGGACATAATTGATTGGTGTGACATCCTTGTTACGATTATGGCATGGGTTCATAAATTCACAAAGGTAATTGTCAACCATTAATAACCTTAATCCTACCCTAACCCAGTTGACAGCAAAAGGTGTGAGACAGTTGAAATAAGTGGACATAATTTATTGGTGCTCAAAACTCACTGGCGGGCAAAAACTTTTGGGAGAGCAAAAAAGGAACAAAAGCCCATTCCTACATTTCCTCATCCAAATCATTAATAAAAATATTGAGAAATAGAAAACCCAGGACTTGTATTATTACATATTACAAAATATTGGGCAGCCAACCAGCAACTTCATTACTCTAGGCAATTCATCTAGTTCTGGAAATTTAAACTCATTTAAGATAAAGAAGTATTCCCTGATCATGTTTCTATCATACTCAGACTTCAGTCCTGCCATTTCCTTCTGCTATTTACCTAGTGGAACACATGTTTTCTCAGGGAAGACTGAGTCCAAACAGGAGTAAAGTAATTCTGTTTCTTCTTTTTTATCTGTTAGCATTTTGCTATCCCCACTGAGCAGCTGTTATACTGATTCTTTTTTGTTGTTTTATTTTAAACATATCTAAAGAAGTATTTTCTATTATTTTTAGTATCCTTTGCCAACCTCAGCTCATTTTGAGTTTAACTTGTCTGACTACCATCTCTGTGGTCTACTCATATGCGTTCTTGTTTGGTGACCTGTCTATATGTGTCCTTTATTGTTCTATGGTCTTTAACATGCTTTTTGTGCAGGTAGGTTAGTTCTTCTATCTTTTTTTTTAATCGATGGATTTTTCCAAATATGGTTTTAACATCTTGATGATCCCCCACCCATCTTATTCTCCTTTGGCTGTGTGAGCAGTCCCAGTATATTGAACAAATTGGCCAGAAAGGATCAGCATGCAGGACGCCTTTGGAATTGAAGATCCCAGTGCTTTAAGGTACAACCAGTGCAGGATAATTATCTCACTCCAGTAAGCTGTGCCTCATGGACTGCAATCATTGTATATGAACCAGTCAATATGATTCAAGCCCAAGTTACATATGTATTTGTTCCTATCTGCCTCCTTACCTGCAAACATAAAGCAAGAGATGGGTATATATTAAAAGTATCATAGAGAAAGTACACTAAATTCCAGAAACTTTGCTCACCAGGCTATCTCATATTAATGAGAGAAAGTTCAATGCCTCCTTTTCTTTTTTTACATATATGAAAACTGAAGGACCTTCCTGCCTCCACTTTATACAGTATATTCTCCTTTTTCAATTTGGTTTGCTCCCGGTAAGTTGGCCTTGCAACGCTCAAGACTCCTAGTCAGTGTGGTTGCTAGAATGATGACAACAAAGCGGGTCACCCCCAGGCTGTAATTGAAATGGACCATTGAAAACCACATACTTACTTAATCTATTATTTAAAACAACAGTGTTTGTCATTAACTTGGATTTATCAGGAGTTGATGGGAAAGAAATAAAGGATTTTGATTGGCCTCTTTTCTTGTCTTTCTTCTTCTTTGCCATCTGCTGCTCTTGCCATGCTCTGGGAGAAATACTCAGCAAAAAGGCTTCGTAGGAAAAATATAGCTTCAAAAGATCTTCAGTGTTTGCAATTTCACTGCAGATGTCAAAAGAGAACAAGGGATACAAGAAGCAAGTCCTCAGATGTTACAGAAGTACAATGCCTAGGAGACATTTAAAAACATACCTGAAAAAGCTAAGAAAAACATTTCCCCTGAATTATATGGCTTTACAGCATTATAGCTCAGATGTTAATAAGAATGCTTATTCTTATTAACCTCTGAGTTATAATGCTATGCCTAGACAAGGTTTTTCAAATTTATTTTAATTTGGGGAAGGGAGGGGAGGAAAGGTTGTTTCATCAAGAAGCTTTCTGTCCTTTACCACAAACTTCTGTGCACCTGCTCAGAAATTAAAGAAGGCACAACCGTATATGCTTTCTAAAAGGTGTGGAAACTATTAGCCTGGGCTTAATAAGAACATCTACTTGATTTTGCATTTATTTTATAGTCCTAAAGATTCAGCTTTCTGAATCTCAATTAGCTGCCACCTCTCAATTGTCCATGGTATAGATGATGTGCATTATGATTACTACATTATTTTAAAGATGTTGAACTAGACCTTTTGGTGCCTTTCTATATGCAGAAAGGTACCTTCCATTCAGAAAAGGGCTATTACTTCTTACTTAAGAGCACCATGCAAAAATTTAAGCTACATTTAGACACATTGTTCAGATAGCACTTGTATAGGCCTTTATACATTTGGTACTTGAAATGCAACTTCTTCAGATAGCAAGAATATGCTGCACTATGGGAAATATATTGAGAATCACATAATCAAGAATCTCTCATAAAGCAAAGAGAAAGAGCTCACCTTTTAAGGGAGAACAGTTCATTCATTGCTGACCTCAGTTCTGTTGTCACTTCCATTTTAGATTTTGCTTCTTGGGTTGCCCTAAAAAAAAGGGTGTGTACAATTTTAATAGAAAGATGTTAATATTGAAATAGAGAACCAGTTTGGTGTAGTGATTAAAGCATGAGGCTAGAAACCAGGAGACTGTGAGTTCTAGTCCCGCATTAGGTACGAAGCCAGCTGGGTGACCCTTGGGCCAGTCACTCTCTCTCAGCCCTAGGAAGGAGGCAGTGGAAAACCACTTCCAAAATCTTGCCATGAAAACTGCAGGGACTTGTCTAGGCTATCACCAGGAGTCAACCCCCCCCCCCAAAAAAAACATTAAAATAATTATACAGATACCGTTTACATCTCTTAACCCAGGAAAGGAATGCTATCTTTGTCTCCTCAAATTAATAGTAAGAGATGATAGTTCTAAAAATTAGTGGTAGTCCAGAAACTTAGTAAGAAAATAGTCTGAGGATAATTTTAAAGAAAGCTTTAAAAAATAAAAATAAGCAGTCTAACAATTCATCAATAGCAAAAAATAAAAAATAAATCCAATGTGGCAAACTCATCCAGCAATTACTGTTATTAGCTTATATCAGCTTCTTTTTATAGTCAAAAATTCTTCATGAATCTTTGGAAACTCTCTTTCCCCATTCCTATTGTGTGTGATGAGGTAGACAGTGAAATCCCATCTACAGAAACAGTTTCTTTGCTTTTAATAGAATACTGTTTTTAAAACTGAATTAGCTCATCTGTTAGCTATTAGCTAACTAATAAATAGCTGTTCCTATTAGCTCTCACCCCTTTAGCTGTTGGCAATGATTATGAAATATTACATCTGAGATCTAGTTGCATAAGCTAGAAAGACCCCAAATCTGGTAGGTGGCAGTCACCTAATGAAATAAATTATTATTATTTTCAAATGCATACCTATGCCACCACCACCATTCTGCAGTTCCTCTAAATACGTTAATTGCTTATTCAAGAAAACCATGTTTGAAGGAGTTGCACAAAAATGGGGCAGCAGAGTCTCTTTTGGGATGACTCAAGAGTGTATATGAGGGTAAAAGCCCACTGCAGTTCTACATTGTAAATATAGGGGCAATGATTGATGTGGGGGCATCATAACCAAGAGTTACTGTTGCAAACATGATGGTTAGGGAAAGATAGATTTGGGGTAACTTGGTGGGGCAGGCAGGAATGAATATAAAGGTGGATTGAAGCTCATTTAAGGAACCAGATTAGGACAAAGTAAGACTCCTTATTCTGGCTGCCTGCTGCATAGAATGCATAGATACAGTTTAGAAAACAGCTCTTTCTTCATGTGCTTTTATATATGTTTATTCATATTCTGTAACAGGAATATACAGTCCTGAATGCCTTATGTTTGGCTCCTTAAGCCCCTCCAAAAGTTGCTGAATTACAATGTTTGTAATGTGACATGGGGACATTATTAATGCCATGGAAAGTAATCATAGAGACAGTATTTAATGTCTTTAATAATGTTTATTTTATTTAATTTAAGCTAAATTAAATCAAACTTATGACTGGTCTAACACACTGCTCTGTCCTGGACGTTCATATTTTAGAATGTGACCACCATGACACCATTCAAAGGCCAAGGATGATCAATTACCCCCAAACGTTCTACAACCAAAGAAATATTTCTAGCAGAGAGAAAAGGAAAGCATTTAAAGAGAAGAGAGTGCATCCATTTCTTGCAATGACTGTTTGAGGGCTTTTTACTTGGAAGAACAGAAGAGGGAACCAGACATTGAACCTCTGAAATCACCCTCCAAATCTGGCCCCTACAGTCAGCTGCAGAGTTAAAAACAAAACTGTAACTAACAGTTTAAGGGCTTCTACAGAACTCCTATCATTTTCTTTGAGAAACTCTTCAAATGCAAGGGTATCTTCTTCTAATTTTGTTTCAGCAATTCTGGCCCTCTTCTCCTCCTTTGCTGCCATCTTCTCCAGCTTTGCCATGGTGCGCTGTTTTACTTTAACAGAGTACTGGAGGAAGAAAACAATTGCAAAATGTTATGTACAAAAAATTCTTAATGTACAGTAGCTTGTCATACCCAAGGTCATTCTCATGCATGCTTACTTGGCAGTAAGCCTTCCCAAAGAGAACTTGATTAAATGTTGCTGTTCTTTTGTTTTTTAAGACTCAAATATTGATTACCTAAATCCTATATGCTTTTTAAATAGTTGGATTGCATGTGTATGTGTGTGAGAGAGACAAGCCTATATTCCTGTCAAACCATTGATCACTTCCCCAAAATTATTTCCCTGCAATCATTTCTCACACGTTGTGTACCAACTTTCTCTATTACAGTGTTGTCCAAACTTGGCCACTTTAAGATGAGTGGACTTCGACTCCCAGAATTCCCC